TCAAGCCTATGTAATTGAGCATCTACATTTTTAAAAGACTATTGAGCTGAATATCACTTCACAAAATCTGAACAAATGTTCTCCAGTTATATGAGTACATATTTCTCCTCCTTCATTTCTGTCATGCATTTTAAAAGAGAACTTTTTCCCACACCCGTAATTCTAGTTTTCCCCCTCAGAATAGGGTTAACTTAATAGTAGGGCTTCTTACATAAAATGTTAGAATCCTATTGTGGTCTTATTTACTGCTCTTCCTACTTTTCAAGGAAAATGTTAGCTTTTGCAGATGAAGTTACTGCCCCTTCCCTAGAAGTATTTGCTAGATTTAATTTCCTGTTGTTTACCTGATTTGGGTTTTGTTTTAATGCTGAAACATAATATAAAGGGAAGGAAGGTATTTCTTTGGGCTACTTGCTACTACCCAATGTTCCCTTTTTCTGAAGGAGTTGTAAATTCTTCTTGCAGTCTCAACTGCCTCTGACTCAGAAGTCTAGCTCAGGTATTAAAGGTTAATTAGCCTGCATTTCCTCACTCAGGGTAAAGGCTGCTCCTTAAAGCCTATGCATGTGATCATATAGAAGCTGCTGACTCTGTCAGCTGGTGGCAAACTAACCAGGGAGAGACGTGATGCTCAGGACCACTTGGGCTGCAGGTGTTCAAGGACCCCTTTCTACAATTCCCTCCCCTTCACCCAGAAACCTTAATAGTACAGGATATATGCAAGGGAGGGGACATTTTAAATGTGTTATATTACAGAAACGGAATTATCTTTGTTTTTAAAAATATTGCTATAGGTACAAAGCAGTTCTTTTGACCTAGGGCATAATACATTTGCTAAAAGAGCAAAAACTCCTATCTTCATGGAATTCATTAATGTTTAAACTTGATCCTGACACATAACTTTCTCTGCTCTTTATAACTAAACATCAACCCATCATCCTAAAAATTATTTTCCCTTTAACTTGTTCCCTCCACATACAGCTAATTATAAAACATTCAGGTGTGCCTCAACACCTGAACATACATATATATAAATCCTATAGATAACCCTCAGTGGTACCCAGCTCCCTGGACATGAGGGCTGTGTTGCTCCTGTTCTCCTATCCCGATGCTTGTGCCTAAAACCTGGCAGAGCTCACTATCAGGAACACGGGAGATAAAGTGTCCTCGGTTAGTCAATGAACTATTACTGATATGTGATAAATATGTACATAAGTTGACAAGCGCATTTAGAAATGTTTAAGCGTTCTGACATTACTGTAACATCCAAAGGCAGCAAGGCAAATATATTGGTTCGTGGCCAATTGGGAATAAAAATTAAATTGGTCCTTCATCTCAGAAAGTTTGTGAAGCATTTGTAAGGACTGAGTATTCTAAAATTCTCATAAATATAGAAACTAACTCATGCTTTTCAGTTCACATGGTCTAAGATTAATCCTTAGTAAATAAGTTAGCTTAAGTTTGTTGGTTTAAGTAAAATAGAAATGTCCTTTTTTTTTTTAAATCCTCATCTGAGGATATTTTTTCCATTGCTTTTCAGAGAGCGGAAGAGAGATCGATGTGAGAGACACAGCAATTGGTTGCCTCCTGCACCTGCCCCTACCCGGGCCGGGGATTGAGCCTGCAACCGAGGTACGTGCCCTTGGCCAGAATAGAACCAGGGAGCCTTCAGTCCTGGGCCAACGCTCTAACCACTGAGCCAAATTGGCTAGGGCCAGACATGTCTTTAATTTATCTGGGCTTTACAAAAATAAGTTCATGTTAATAATTGACTTTGATGTCCATGAAATTTAAGTGATTAAAAAAAAAAGAGCCCTGGCCAGTGTGACTCAGTGGTTGAGCATCCTCTCATACACCAAGAGGTCACCAGTTCCATTCCTGGTCAGGGCACATGCCCAGGTTTCGGACTTGATCCCCAGTAGGGGTGTGTAGGAGGCAGCCAATTGATGTTTCTCTCATCAATATTTCTCTCCCTCCCCTTCCTCTCTCTCTAAAATCAATTTTTAAAACATTAAAAAAAAATTTTTTTAATGAATAGTTGGGGTTATGGGAAACCCAAGAGGGCCTCTTGGTTCTTTGCTGCTCCTTGGCTTCCCATTTTTAAGTTTTTGCATTCCTTCACACATCATAGTGCATTTAAGCTGGTGATGAAGAAACTTATGAGCTAACACTTTTGAAAGACATCTTACACTACTGCCAATGTTCGATAAAGTCACTTCAAGAAAATGCCAAGTTTGTCACTGCTTCCTTTCACAGAGAGCTCCCAGGAGACAAAAACTTTAGATACCGTTCTTTAGAAAGGACGTCAATAACAGAAACTCTCCAACCTTATTGAAAGGGACATTATAGACATCTGTCCCTGTCTCTGACACTCACCTCTGCCTACAAGGGACATCAAAGATTCCTCTAGAATGAGAAGCTGCTGACATCAGAGGTAGGTAGCTATCCTGACATCAACAAAGCCTATATAACTATGGATTGGTATTGAGCTCAGAATTTTGTCTGTTTACTTATGATACTATTCATACAAATAGTTATTCTTGTTCTTTGGATTTTTCTATATAGTCCAACTGTTTATGATTACTGAACACGTGTAAAATAACTGTTAATACTCTTTTCATGTAAATGTTATATGTAAATGTTATACTAGATGCTAAATTTAAAAAAAAAAAAAAATTGAGACAGAAGGCAAAACGCGGATCATAATGGTTCCGAGGATAACAATAATCTAGAGTGCTTTTATTGCAATGAAGGCCATTAGACCTGACTGCTTTACATTTACCTGCCCTTCCCTTTTTGGGAAAACTCCACCCCAACTCATACCCATGGTGACGGTATTGCCCCATCCCCAGTGGTCAACAAGATGATATAGATACTGAGACTTCCTCGGAACAAGCCTTCCCAGCACCGTGAGACCACACTATCAGACCAAAACGTTGGTCATCAATGCATCCTTTGGATTGATTTATGACCAAAAGAGGAAATTTTAAATGGAAAAGGACTTCTACGAAGGTAACCTCACAGGTGATATGACCTTAAATCTTAATTGGGCAAGTCTTGGTGAGTAATCACACCCCAGGTATTTAACTTCTTTAGTAAAAGGCTTATCTTTGCCTTAAGCAAGCCCTGTCCAGTGTTTCTACGCATCTAGCTTAACACACCTTTGAAATGCCCCCTTTCAGACCCCTCCTCCTAACACATACCCATCCTTTTCAGACCCCTCCTTCTGAAGGGGACCACCCTTAAGAGAGCACAAAATCTCATTAACTATCCTGTAATCTGATAATTGCTTCTTTGTGTGTTCATGTAATCTTCCTTTTGTTACCTCCTTAATTTAAAATGCCCTAAAAAAATAAAACCCTGCAAAACTGTTATTCCCAGGAACATTTTAGATCTTGTTCCCTGGCATAGGTTGTTTGGATGTTTCTTACATCGACACCTTCAAGAATCAGCTCAAGCAGCATCCATCTCTAGGGCATCCTTCCTGGGCAAGGGCCCCTATCTGTGAGGCCTTTACGATCTCTGACCTCCATCAAAGCACTCCCGCTGTTTTATTGTTTACTGCATCTGTCTCCCTAGAGCAGCTTGTGCTTAGGGGCTGCATCCTTCCTCCTCCTCTTCTCGGGGCACCCAGCCCTGTGCTTGGTTCATGGAAGGCAGCCTCTCATCTAGTAAGTGTGTGTGGAATAAAGGGCTGAGTTTGAAACCACTCTGTAAGCTGTATAGAGCTGTACCACTTTCCCTTCCGCATAATGCCATCTGGTGTTGGTAGCAATAAAAACTGTCACTTAAATTCAGGACCTTGTGGAGGCTCTAAGGTCAGTGAAGAGAGCACTGGAATGGGAGTCTCCTGTCTGGGCTGTTAACTAACCAAGCCTGTCACCTTGGGGATGGAACTGACTTCAACTGAGGAAGTGGACAGTTGGCTCAAGGCAGGATTCTTAGTCTGTGGGCCACAGACATCTAGAGAATCTATGGATGGGCTTAAAGGAAGTTTACTCACTTTCTGAAGTTGTTGCCTTCCTGGGGAGACAGACCACAGGTTCTCAATGTCAAGAACTACTAATCTGGATAATCTCCTGGGTCTCTCCAATCTCCATCCTGGTGATATATGTTCTTTTTGAGGGGGAAGGACATGTTAGGGAGTGAGAGATGGCTGGCACCTGTCCCGCTTACTCACTGCCATCCTAAGCCCATCTGAGATGGACTTTGTCAAGGGAGCCCTGGCACCATCTCAAGGTTGACTCTGCAGCTCCCTAAACTTTGGCCTCAACAGCGGAGAGGCAGGGTCTGCTCTTAAAGGGACAGGGGGGAGCAGGACCAGAAAGGGAAAAGGCTGGAAATGTGGATTAAGGGAGGTAAGGAAGAAAGGAGCTTTATAGACATAGAGACTCTCAAGATCCAGAAGTCTGGCAAAGGCCTGGGGAACACTGGGAGTCCCCGTAATGCATGCCTGTGCTGGAAGGACAGGAGGAAGGAGCTGAGGATCCAGTAAGCGCAGGCTACTCTCGTGATCATAATTATCCTGCAAAGGAGGTTTTTATCAGCCCCAAGCAAGAGAGATTAAATCCGAGTTCTACAGCTTTTAAATGTCCCTCTGGCCCTCCTTTCTGCCCTGCACTGTCCGTCCAGAGGAGAGGTTTAGGGCATGTCCTAAACCAGACAGCCTCCCTGGTATCTCTTCTGAAAAGTGCAAAGGCAAGTGCACTAGGCTGGCTGGCAAAGGAGGGAGGAGGCGGCAATCCTGCTGCAACCGCCCTGGGCTCCAGCCACGTGCCGGCCTTGGGCTAGGTTCCTGGAGGCACGCGACAGGAACCCCGCTCTGAGCAGCAACCGCCAACCTCCCCCTCCCCCCAGCGTGGTAAACAACCGGGATCTGAGCGGCGGGGCGCACGAGGCACAGGGCGGGTGCCGCGCTGGAGCCGGCGAGCTGGCCCGCGCTGGGCTCCGAGGCCGGTGGGGCAGGGTCCGGGGGGCCCCCACTCCCCTTCCCGTTTTACCAGGCGCAGGTCCCCGGGTCCGTGCACCACCAGGGAAAGGTTCTCGGGCTTGGCCGCCGCCATGTCGCTCTTCCCTCCCGGGCTGAAACTGCAGCCTGCAGGACGCGTGGAGGTTCTGGCGGCTGCGGGGTCCAGGGCAAAGGGCTGGAGGCCGGGCTTGGGCTAAGCAAGCTGGAGCC